TGTTTTAACACTGATCACGAAGTGCACACTTTATGTTCACATCTGCTTTTACAAGTGTTTGAAACCGCATACTATCAAAGTTTCAGTTACCAATGCAAAAAAAAATTGCTATCCAAAAATTTTTTTTCTATTTCAAATTGTTTTGAAATCATGACTCTATATTCAAGCTTGATTTGCTCCTACATCTGTTTCAAAACGTTTGTAAAAACCACAACTTTCATTTTCAAGCGGTACACTTATATCAAACTGATAATACTTGTCTGAAACTATTTCTGTTTACCCTTTGTTGTCCAATTTCCCAATAAAAATCAAGCAAAAAGATTTCGACCACGGCAGGACTCGAACCTGCAATCCCCAGATCCGAAGTCTGGTGCCTTATCCATTGGGCCACGCGGCCACATTTGACCCAATTTCCATTTCCCGTATTTGACTCGCTCTCTCGCGCCACTCCGTCTCCTCGCTTCGCCAAATGAAGGCGTGAGCTCTCAGCCAGCCATCTCCATTTTCTCAGTCAACGAGTACTAGAAAATGAGAGAAAAGGAAAAATAAAGAGAGAGAGAGAGAGAGATGGAGCCAGCTGCATTTGTGTGTTTTTTTTGCATACGTTATGAGTCTAATTTAGTGAAGAAGGGAAAAATTTCAAAAAAAATTTGAAGAACAGAAAAATGGGAAAATAATGGAATATTGAGGACGAAGGGAAAAAAAAGTGAAACATTTTTCGTCAAAGCGAAAATAATTGTTGGTAGCCGCGGCCAGAGGTCCAGAACGAAAACTACAGAACGAAAATAACAGGGAAAAAATCTGGTCACAGTAATTTTCATTTTTGGACCTTCGGCCACGACCACCAGCGTTTCTCTTCCACCGCTCCTATAGCCATAAACCAGTATAATATCGTGATGATGTATCGACAGATTTTGCAAACTTGTATCTTCGTTTATTAGCTTTTGTTAACTCTCAGAGATACCGTCGATTCTATCAAAGTTATGAAATTTATTAAAGGTGGGGGGACAGGAGATTTTACGGGGGATTTTTGGGGCCAGAGTATGCATTCTACCGTAACGGTGTACAACGCTTAATGTCACTCTGCGTACAGCAGTCGCCCTCGCCTTTATGTATGCAATCGGGCAGCGGCTTTCTCTTTGCACGCGTAGCTCAGTCGGTAGCGGCGCCGCACCTTCAACACTCGCCTCGACAAGTTCAACTCCTCGAGGAGCATATTTAAACGAAATTTCGACAACATTATTTTTCTCATGTCCCCCCACCTTTAATGTTCTGTTGCTAACAACGAAGTTTGAAAACTTTGGAAATATCCTGCAAGTTTAAAAGTTCTGTTTGCACCAATTGTGAATGTTTTTTTGTTGTTATCATGTTTCAAAAAGTTTCTTATAGTTAGTTCGAAAAAATTAAATGAAATTGTTGATCTGTTCGTGTTCTGTTTGACCTGAAACTCTACTATAAAATAAGCCTATCAACTTCTCGAAAACGATAACAAAAACCGATCGAAAACATGAATTCAATTCTTCACCAGTTTCATTTGTTGAAAAAATTATTTTTATGTTTCAGAATATTTATTAGTTCATAAAGATTGAATGAAGTTGCTCTTTCCTTCATGTATATTGTTAACCTAAAAAACTCACTATTCTAAAAGAATCCTATCAGATTCTCGAAAACGGAACCTAATAAACCCATCACTTCTTCATTCCCCGTTATCCCCTATACTCCTCCTGTTCCCCTTTTTTTATTTCCGACTCAACCCAATTCGTACTTCCTTCCTTTTTCATCCCACAAAACCTAAAACTTCAGCTCACCCCGCCCATTTGATCTTCATTTGTCTCCATCCATGGTATATGTCCTTCTTCCCACTTCTTCTCCTTCTTTTCCCTCAATTCAACCCATCTGCCACGTCATCACCGTCGCTGTTCCCGTGTCCGGCGAGATGTCAATGCTATTCGGATAACGAGCAGAACCAACAGGTTCACCTCATTTGCAAGTGGGAACAGGTAATTGCATATACAAGAGAGAAAGGGGACAGTAGCCTACTGTCAGTGGGTTAGCCGTGCAATTATCAATTAGGTGTCGCGTGGGTGGATATGACGTGTGTATAACAGAACATACAAATATTTACATGTTATGTAAAAAGAGAAGAGGGACAAACTGCGATAAAATGTCGTATCAGTAAAGTTAATAATTATGACTAAAGTTGTGATTTAACTGAAACAGTGAACTTGGAAACAAAAAGTCTAATATGAAATAGATTCTGGTGATAATATATCCCGCTTCCTGTGAAAGATATCAAAAAGTGGTCAGCTAACAAAATGTTTATCATGATATAAGAAATATTTTGTCAGTTGGTGTTATTTTGATATCTTTTACAGGAAATGAGATAATTGGGGTTAAAGTTGGCAGTGCTGGGGCCATTCTATTCCAGGTTTCTCGGTAAATGGTATCAAAGATTACGGTTTAATATGCCTTATTTCATCTATCTGAATTTTCAAAGTTTTCGAAAATACTAGAGATTTTTTAAAATTGTTTTAGGATTTTGAATTTTTTCCCGTTACTGAAACTACTGAAACTACTGCACACAGTTAGCAAAAATAGTTTTGCGACGTTACTGAAAACAATAAACACCTTTATTCTAGCCGATAGGGACTTGTAAGTTTTTTTTTACTTTTTTGGTGAGAGATAGTCAAGATTGAAGTCCTGAAAAGTTGTTCAGAGGTTTTTCGTTTTTCTGAAATTTCAGATTTTTGGCATTTACGGCATTTTAAATGTTACAAACGGCATATGCCATCAGAATGTAATTTGGCAAAAAAGTTGTCAATTACAAAAATGAAGTTTTAACTTTGTACTCTAAAATTTTCCGAGAAATGGAAAAACTTTGGAATCTTCTTTAAAGATTTCAACTTTAACTACTTTCTACTAAAAAGCCAGTACTGATATATAGATTTCTGGTACTGTATATTTAAATATTTTAATCTTCCAGGTGTTTTATTAACTTCAAACCTCGGGACACAGACTGAAACAAACCCACTGTTAAATCAAAAAAGTCTTATTTGAAAATTACTGTTTAGAAATACCCATAATCCACAATTTTTAGGAAATTTCGTCATTGTCTGTAGGCTGTTGTTAAAGGTGGTGTGCGGTGAAATTTATTATTGCTGTATTTTGTGCAGAAATCTATGTAGATTCCCATAAAAATAAAGAAAAACTTCAAAAAATTCCTAAAATGCGAAAAACCGCGTCGAAAAAGCGACGATGTATCCGGTGGCCAAGCGGCCATGTGTGAGTTTTCTAGTCCCCCCGGAGAAAGAAGCGCGCGAAGTACCGAGCTCGAAT